TCCTGACTGCTGCTTCCATTGGTGTCGATTGTAGAACCAAGCAATGTGAAGTCTTTGACAACTTCAATCTTTTCTCCATTTATCGTAATGTTGCTCATAGGACCAGTTGTGAGGATTTTTGTTTTCTTTATATTAAGATGTAATCCATACTGCAGACTGTATTCTTCAATCTTCATCACTAAGTACTTCAAGTCATCCTCACTTTCAGCAAGCAAAGTTGTGTCGTCATCGTATCGCAGGTTGTTAATGATTCTTCCTCCAATCTTAATGCCACATTCTTCTTCATATAGTCCAGCTTCTCTGATTATTTGCTCAGCATACAGATTGAATATGTATGGTGAAAGAATACAACCCTGATGCACTCCCTTCTTCATTTTAAACCATGCAGTGTTCCCTTTTTCTGTTCGAACAACAGCCTCCTGGTCTATGTACAGGTTCCTAATGAGTACATTTAAGTGTTCTGGAATTCCCATTCTTCTCAATGTTATCCACAATTTGTTATGATCCACACAATCAAATGCTTTTGCATAGTCAATAAAATGCAAGTAAACATCTTTCTGGTATTCTTTGCTTTGAGCCAAGATCCGTCTGACATCAGCAATGATATCCCTCATTCCACATCCTCTTCTGAATTCATCCCGCACCTCTGGAAGTTCTCTGTCAATATACTGCTGCAACCGTTTTTGAATTATCTTCAGTAAGATTTTACTTGTATGTGATATTAATGGTATTGTTCTATAATTTCCACATTCTGTGGGACCACCTTTCTTTGGAATGGGTACAAATATGGATCTCTTCCAGTCAGTTGGCCAGGTAGCTGTCTTCCAAATCTCTTGGCATAACCAAGTGAGTGCCTCCAGCGGGGCATCCGCTTGTTGAAACATCTCAATGGGTATTCTGTCAATTCCTGGAGCCTTGACCTTTACCAATTCCCTCAGCGCAACTTCTTCCTTCAATACCACTGGTTCTTGAACATATGCCACCTCCTGAAAGGATGAAGGTCGACCAGTTGTTTTTTGTACAGTGACTCTGTGTATTCCTTCCATCTTCTTTTGATGCTTCCTGCATCATTCAATATTTTTCCCATAGAATCTTTCAATATTGCAACTTGAGGCTTCAATTTTTTCCTCACTTCTTTCAGCTTGAGAAATACCGAGCATGTTCTTCCCTTTTGGTTTTCTAACTCCAGGTCTTTGCACTTTTCATTATAGTAATTGGCTTTGTCTGCTTGAGCTGCTCTTTGAGAAATCTTCTGTTCAGCTCTTTTATCTTGGTTCAAACCCACCAGCCACTCCTCAAAGGAAGATTGGACAATCTACTTTTGTAGTGGATTCCACCTCAGAAACCCAAGTAGAGGTCACTATGAGTCGGATCCGACTCAATGGCAGTGAGTTTGTTTTAGTTTGGTTGGTGGCGTAGTGCCTAAGGCACTTGACTGCTAACTAGAAGGCCGATGGTTCAAACCCACCAGCCACTCCTTGGAAGGAAGATGGGGCAATCTATTTCCGTAGTGATACCGCCTCAGAAACCCAAGGAGGGGCCGCTATGAGTTGGGTCCAACTCTACGGCACATAACAACAACAACAAGCCAACAAAGCAAGTGCCATTATTATCTTAATTTTACGGATGGACAAGCACAGAGAAGTTAAGAAACTCACCCACAGTCACATAGCTTGCAAGTGGCACTGTAGGCATTTGAGCTCAGGTTCATGCTCTTCAATGCTGCCCCCATGTAGACAGGGTGCAGAGAGGGCATCCAGACATAGAGGTTAGGGGAGCCGAGGGGCTGAGCCTGGCCTCTGATTCCCTCCCCCACCTCCCCGCAGACCCCCGATGGCATTCTCATCAAGAGAGACACCTTGTCATCTCAAAATCAGATCGGCATTTTGCCCTTGTCTTGGAACATCCCAGAGCTGGTCAAGTATGACGGGCCTTCCCAGAGGGGGTTTTGGGCTCCCCTATCCCCAGAGCAGGAGTAAGGGGGCTGTGAGGCTGGGCCAGGCCACTCACCCGGCCCTCCCCGACCCCGCTCCAGCTTGGGGCAGTGGAAGATCCGAGGCCACTACGAAGATTCTCCACAGCAGGTCTTCTCCACGGAATTTGAGATAAAGGAGTACGGTAAGGGGAGGCAGGAGCGGGCGGGACCACCCACCCTGGACCGCCGGCCCCTTCTGGCCCCGCTACCATCCTCTGTCCCCCACAGTGCTACCCAGCTTTGAGGTCCAAGTGGAGCCCACCGAGAAATTCTATTACATCGACGAGCTCAGGGGCCTGGAGGTCGTCATCACGGCCAAGTAAGGAGGGGTGGGGCCAGCTGAGCGGAGGGGCGGGGCCGGGCCGGGAGGGGCGGGGCCGGGCCAGGAGGGGCGGGGCCCGGGCCGGGCCGGCTCTAGGTCCTCGGCTGGCTTTCCAGGAGCAGGGCTCTGAGACCCTCTTCGCCTCACAGGTTCTTATATGGGAAGAACGTGGATGGAGTGGCCTTCGTCCTCTTCGGCGTGCAGGATGGCGACCAGAGGATTTCGCTGACCCAGTCCCTCACCCGCGTCGTGGTACCTGCCAGCGGCCCCGCTGAGACCTTCCCCCGTCTGGGTGTCCTCGCGCTCTCTCTGGCCCTCTCCACCCTCCCGGACCCTCCCTCGTGTCCCCTGGCCCCTCTGAGCCCTCTTCCCTCTGAAACCCCCTCTCCTCTTTGAGCTCTCACCCCTCTATCTGCGGCTCCCCGCCCTCCTGAGCCCTCATCTCCCCCCAGATTGAGGATGGCACCGGGGAGGCGGTGCTGAGCCGAGATGTCCTGCTGAAGGGGGTGCAGCCCTCCCAGCCCGAAGCCCTGGTGGGGAAGTCCTTGTATGTGTCGGCCACTGTCATCCTGCACTCAGGTGAGGCCTGGTCTGCACCCAGGGCCCAGTCCACAGAGAGGGGAGACCCTCAGAAGACAAAGCCCGGGTCCAAGGGACCGCCCTGTCTGAGAGAAGGGGAGGCCCGGTCCAAGGCAGGAGGCTCGGTCTGAGGGAGGCTTGGTATGAAGATGGGGTTTGAGGGAGAAGGCCCAGTCTGAGGCTGGAAGTGGGGTCCAGTCTGAGGTGGGGAAGCCCAGCCTGAGGGGGAGGCCCAGAAGTCTGCCCTCACAGCTGGCCCCCCCAGGCAGCGACATGGTGGAAGCAGAGCGCACCGGGATCCCCATCGTGACCTCCCCCTACCAGATCCACTTTACCAAGACACCCAAGTTCTTCAAGCCAGCCATGCCCTTCGACCTCATGGTGAGACCCTGGGTGGGGCTCCACCCCTGCCCCCCTGATTCTCCACCCCTCCGGATCCCCCTCCACCTGCCCTTGTCCCCCACAGGTCTTCGTGACGAACCCCGATGGATCTCCAGCCCGTCAAGTCCCTGTGGTGGCCCAGGACACCGAGGTGCAGGCCTTAACTCAGGCAGACGGCGTGGCCAAGCTGAGTATCAACATGCCCAATAGCCGGAGCCCGGTGGCCATCACTGTGAGTCGGGGCCCTGTGGGCGCCTGTTTTGGTTACCTAGTGCCGCTGTAACAGAAGATACCACAAATGGGGTGGCTTGAACAAACAGGAGTTTATTCTCTTACAATGTGGAGGCTTTAAGTCCGAGTTCAAAGTGGCAGGTTCTTGAAGCTGGGTAAATCCCCTCAACCTTGGGCTTCAGCTCTGCTTCCTGCTCCCGGTCCCCTGGAGCTAGAGGCTTTTCTTCACTCAGACAGCTGCTGGCTACTGAGGCTCACAAGCCCAAGGTTGACAAGTAAAATGGCACAGTCCCAATGTTACCAAACAACATGGCAGGCCACTAACTCAAGTCATTGAAAGCCCCAAGGTCAGCAGAACATAGCAGGCTGCTGAACAATGACCCAGCTACATGCAGGGTTCAAGTGTGCCATAAGCTAGAGACCATTCCCAAAGCTGTTTCTTACATGCAGGAAGCAGACCACATCCCCAAAGCAGCTACTCAGCTGCTCCAATAGATTCCACCATGGAGTTAATTACCAATCTCATCATGGGGAATAACTACCACCAGCTGCCCAGCCACTCAACCAGGCACAGCCAAGTTGACATACAAACTTAACTACCTCAGCACCCCACTGGGAGAACCCCTTTATGTGCACAGAGGGGTCCTGCCATGTGCAGAGGGATGTTCTCATTTGCATAAAGTCTTCTCATTTGCACAGAGGGTTCTCATTTGCACAATGGGGTCCTGCATTTACATACAGGGATTACTGCTCTTCTTCATTTGCACAGGGGAGTCCTGACGTTTACATACAAGGGTTCTGTCATTTAAACAGAAATGTTTTCATTTGCATGGAGAGGTTCTCATATAAACATCAGAGTCTGGCCACCTGCCGAGAGAGGTCCCATCATTTGCAGAATTGTGTCCTGACATTTACATGGAGGGGTTGTCCGCTTGCATAGAGGGGTTCTTTCTTTGCACAATGAGACTCTGTCATTTACACAGAGAATTCTGATTTGCATAGAGGGGCTCCCTGTTTGTATCAAGGGGCCCTGTATTTGCATAGCAGGGGTCTCATTTGCATACTAGGGTCTTGTAGTTTGCATAGAGGGGTTCCTTGGGACAGTGGGGTTCTGATATGCATAGAGAGGGTCTCATTTGCACAGAGGGGTTCTTTCTTGGTACAGAAGCATCCTGACATTTGCATGGAGGGGCCCTGTCTGTGCACAGTGGGGTCCTGCCGTCTGCTTAGCGGGGTTCATGTTTAGATGAATGGGGCTCTTTCACTGGCATGCAGTGGGTCTCCCATGCACCTGGAGAGGGCCCCACTCACACATGCAGTTCTCTGCTTTCATGGAGGAGTCTGAGTCCTGCTGCGAGGGCCCTTTAGGTTACATGTGTGCATGGTGGGTTTAGTTCTGGTTCTGTAGCCTTGGCTGTGTTGTGCCTCTCTGGGAGGGGACGTGGCCCATGTATACGCTGCAGATGTTTTCAGCTGTCTTCAGGGGCCCCTGCCCCAGTCCTTGGCCATGTTGCACCTCGTTGGGAGGAGACACAACTCATATGCACACTGCAGATGTGTGCAGCTGTTGTCAGGGGCACCCATCCCACTCCTAGGCTGGGTGCCCTCTCTTTGCTGGAAGCTATGTATTAGTCAACTACTGCTGCTGTAACACATTACCCCAAACTTTGGGACTTAACAATACAACGTTATTATCTGAGAGATCTGGAGGTCAAAATCCAAAGTCAGTCTCAATGGGTTAAAGCTGAGGGTTCGGCAAGGCTGCTTCCTACTGAAGGCTCTCAGGAAGAATCCACTCACTGGTGTTTTCCAGCTCTGACAGGCCACCCGCATTCCTTGACTAGTGGCCCTCCTCCATCTTCCAATGGAGCACAGTGTTTTCCAGTCTCTCTCTCTGACCTCTGCTTCTATCATCACATCTCCTCTTTCGTTTGCTGCTATCAGCTCCCATGGAGTCAGCCCCCAACTCATGGTGACCCCATGCACATGGAACAAAACACTGCCTGCTCCTGCGCCATCCCCATGAGCAGTGGGGGGTCAGATCCTGGCAATCCATAGGGTTTTCATCAGCTGTTTTTTGGAAGTGGATCACCAGGTCTTTCTTCCTAGTCCATCTTAGTCTGGAAGCTCCCCTGAAGCCTGTTTAGCATCCTACCAACACGCAAGGCTCCAGGGACAGACGGGTGGGGGCTCTGAAGGAACTTCACTGGCCGGGACTCGATCCTGGGTCTCCTGAATGGAAGGCAAGGATTCTCCCACCGAGCCACTGCTACTCTCCTGTCTTTCCTGACCAAAGACCCCAAACCACTGCTGTGCAGTCAACTCCAGTTCACAGGGACCTCACAGTGTCAGCATAGAGCTGTGCTCTGTAGGATTTCCAATGGCTGATTTTTCTTTTTTTCCAGGTTATACTTTTTTTTTTTTTAATTGTGATTTGGGTGAAAATTTACAGAGCAAATTCACTTTCCATACAGCAGTTCACATACACTTTCTCTCATGACATTGATCACAATTCACCACAATGCAACAGCTCCCCTCCCACTTCCTCCCCATAGTTACCTCTTCCCTGTGTCCATCCCTCCACTCACTCCTGCCCCCTGAGCTGTCTCCCTGTGTATAAGCAGCCCTTCTTTCTCCCATGATTGTTCTCTCCAAGAAGTGTATCTACCTCAGGTAAATGTTCAACTCATATGCCTGTCTATTGTTTGGCTGGAAGCCACAGGTGTGGGTTCCATTCCAGATATGAAGGTCAGCTAGGGGTCATAGTTGCAGTGGTTCCACCAGACTCTATCGGACCAGCAAACCTGGTCCACCCCCCTTTTTTTTTCTCCAAATGAATTTGAGTTTTGTTCCACATTGTTCTCTCTCTATATCCAGGATCTCCTACGTAGATCCCCTTCCAAGTGGATGATAGTGGTAGCCGGACACCATCTAGTTCTTCTGGTCTCCTAGTTGTACAGGCTGCAGATGGTGTACCAGTTGCTAGGACCAAATGTTTCCATGAATCTCCAGTTTTCCTCATTCCTCTTTGCTCTGGACGAGGAGAGACCCATTGTTGCATCTAGATGGCAGCTTGCAAGCTTTTAAGATCCCAGTCTTAAGTAGGAGTGTAATAATGTTTTGTGCAGTATGTTATGCCAGTTGAGCTTAATGTCTCCTGCAGCTATGGTCCCGAGCCCACAGGTTCAACTACTTGCTCCCTCTGGGTAGCTGGCTGTAACCAAGAAGTGACAACAACCTTGTCCCTTGTCAGCTCTACTATACACCTGGGAATTCAGATTGTACAAATAAACTTATAGGACCATTGTCTGCCAACCCTATATATGGTCTTGAGTATACTACCCACTTCATAGACATACCTACTAGTTCAGCCTGTCCACCCATCTATCCATCCGTCAAAAGGGTTCATCTTTGTTGTCTGTACCTCCCATATACCTCTCTATGTCTTTCTCTTCCTCAATGCCACCATATTGATCACTCACATTTGGTACATTGCCCTTCTCTTCACCCAAATCAATACTTGTCCCTACCTATTTAACAGTGTTCCTTTCCCTCCCCTCCCACCCCTGGTAACCAACAAAGAAAATTTCCTTCCATAGATAAACCTTCCCTTGACTTTTATAATAATGGACTAATACAATATTTGTCCTTTTGTGATTGACTTATTTCACTCAGCTTAATGTCCTCCAGGTTCATCCACGTTATGTGGTGTTTTGTAGATTCTACACTGTTCTTTAGCATTGCATAGTATTCCATTGTGTGTATGTACTACAGTTTGGTTATCCATTCCTCAGTTGATGGATACCTAGGTTGTTTCCATCTTTTGGCTATTGTAAATAGTGCTGCAATGAACGTGGGTGTGCATATGTCTGTTCTTGTCATGGCTTTCACTTCTTTAGGATATATACCTAGTAATGGAATGGCTGGGCCAAATGGTATTTCTATTTCCAACTTTTTAGGGAGTCGCCATAATGCTTTCCACAATGATTGTACCATTTTACAGTCCCACCAGCAGTATATGAGAGTCCCAATCTCTCCACATCCTCACCAGCATTTGTTATTTTCTGTCCTGTTGAAATCAATGGCTGATTTTGCTACTAGTCAATGGCTGATTTTTCAAAAGTAGACACCAGGCCTTTCTTCTGAGGTGCCTCTGGGTGGACTCGACCCTCCAACCTTCTGGTGAGCAGCCCAGCCTTTAACTGTTTGAGCCACCCAGGGACTCCTGTTGCTGGGTGCCATTGAGTCGATTCTGACTCATTGTGACCCCACGTGATGGAGCAGAACTGCCCCATAGGGTGTCCTAGACTATAATCTTTTGGGGAGCAGATTGCCAAGCCTTTCTCCTATAGAGCCACTGGGTGTATTCGAACTGCCAGCCTTTCGGTTAACAGCCAAGCACTTAAGCGTTGTGCCACCTGAGCTCTTTAAGGGACTCCTACTCCCATCTTATAAAGACTTGAGTGATGACATTGGGCCGCCTGGATAAGCCGAGGTCCCCTCCCCTCTCAGCATTCTTAACTCAATCTCATCTGCACCATCCCTGTTGCCATGTGGAAGTCCCAGGTCCCGGGGATTAGGATGGGGCACTACTG